ATGCTGAGTCAGGCTTGATTTTTAATAATCTTTTCCTGTTAAATAAATAAATCAAATCAAATCAATATTATAGACCTAAAACAGCTTATTTTATAGTACATTATTCTCCATTTACCTGATCTGCCTGTCAATAAAATCATCTTCTCTACATGAAGGACTAGATTTGTATTCTGCGGTGAAGCACTTTTAATGGATCGTGATACCAAATAYTTTATTAGTCATACATCAAAACTGAATTTTGTTGTTGACATTTACAGGCTGAAAGATATGCTTTTGTTGCTTTTTCAACCAAGCGGCATTCAGTAACATTTTGATTAATCAAAAGACTCAWACAAATACAGCACATTTGTTTCCTGCTTTGCCAAAATTGTAATACTTGCAGCCACTCTTAAGCACTGACACAGAGCTGTTGAGATAGGCTTAACCCTCTAAGACTAAGTGTGTCAGCATCTCTTACATCACTTTCGATGACCCTGAGCCAGAAAACTCCGATTGAGACTTAGTGATGGTACATGCTGTGTACGGATCATTACAAAATTGCATTTGGCAGGTTCTGCAGCTGCTTGCTGCTAGAATAACAGCAGCCAAACAATGTGGAGGCACAGCTATAAACAATTCTTTCCCAACCTCAGATTACCAAAGGAGCATATACAGTATGGCTGACTGCAATTTAGTTAATAATAATTCATTATTTCATTTGGCCAGCCTTAACACATCCAACACCACCTGTTTAATTACAAACTTAACATTTTTTTTACAAGACTAAACTAGAATTAAGTGCTTTTACTCTGTTATTGTTGTTTGTAACCTAAAACTTCACTTTTTGATTCTAACATCTAAGCCTTTATTTTAGCTTAATAACTAGAAATCTGTGAATTCCCCTTTTAAATTGAAACAAAGCAAGAACAAATCTGAGGGGGGGAAAAAGCTTACATGCTGATGTTGTGATCAAAACAGSAACTTTATAATTTGCTAAGGGATTATGAGATTTGTAAGGAGGAAATACAATAAAATTTTCATTAGATGTAAACTACTTTGGTGTTTGAAGAAGAAGCGTCGAAGCGCATTTAATATCTAGCTGCAATAATCGTAGAGTATTCAGCTCAATAACTAATGCTTGTTCTGTGGCTAAACTGATTAAATTCTTGACARACAAACACCTCTGTGGTAAAAGCAATTTGTCACCTCACCACACCTACTGTATATGGAATAAAACAGCATCCAGGAGCGTATKTTGTAACAATACTGGCTGCATTTTTTCTTTACACGCAATGTGTTGGATGCTTTGCTTCAAATTCAAACTGACAACCTGGTGTGAAATTCAGGAGAAAACACATTTGTCTTGTTGTCGAGGCAGATGGCGACTCCACTCCTGCTACCTCTTACACTCGAGCCAAAAGCTCCCCAGGACACAAAAGAAACAGATTTAATACTTCTAAATAAAGACCCAGAGAAGATAGTTTTTATCTGTATTAGTGGCCACTGCGATAGCTCGGCAGTGAACAAGGAAAAAACACGGAAAGATAAGAGGGAAAACCTCAACCTCCTTTTATTGCGTTTATTTAATTTCACAGTTCAGTTTTTCTCGTGTTCGGTCTGAGCATTAATATTCACCGGCGTTGTGGGTGAGGATGGATGTTGAGCCGTTTCACGCTGTCCTCCTCTTATCACCCCTTACACACTGTTTACTCCTCTTATTTATCTGTGCCCCCACTCCTCATCTGCAGACACCTCCCTCTCCCTTTACCTGCTGCTTTTCACATCTCACCATCTTACTTTCTGTCTTTTTCCCTCCCGTTTTTCTTCTCCCATTCTCACTCCATCCCC